GTAGATGGAAGGTGGCGCCACCACTGATGCCCGCGGCGCCCCGCGCCCCTCCGTCTCCGCCCTAGAGCTTCGCGTGAGCGGTGTGCTGAAACGTCGGCGTGGGGGCGAGGCGGGATAGGAAAGGGGTAGACACGTGAGATCTGTGCGCGGGGTATTAGCCAGGCCGTGCAACACGCTCGAGATCGATATGGATTCGCACTGCTGGGGCTCCGACCCCAACGAGGACACAATCGACCTCGGCGCGCTGCCACCGATTCGGAGGAAGATTCGCTTTCGCATGCCGCGGCGGGGGTAAAATCAGGGGGGTGATGTCTACGGGTGGTCGGTGTCATTGCCCCCCAACCCCACCTTGTCGTTTGGCATAGGACCCCGCCCACATTCAAGTAACCAGTTCTGTTTCGGCCCAGGCCTCGATTCGATGACATAGTGGAGTACGAGATCTACGAAGGGAACCGCTTGACGAATTGGACGTGGGGGGACTTTGCAGCATGATGGCGTTAACTGTGTGCGTTGGCCATGGCGAGGTTCGGCAGTGCTGTTTTGCGGATGTTGTGCCCAGCTATAGACCAACATTCGCATGCGATCGTAATGCTGTAGTATGGCGCATATACGCACATGGGACACGCGTACGCAAAGGGTGCCCGCGCGAGAGCTGCGAGGGGAGGGCCGAGGTAGAGAACGAGAAGCCGAGGAAGGGGCGCAAGCGCAAGTGCTGGCCAGCTGGGGCAATGCTGGCGAAAACAGACGACGTTAAAGTTAGAAAATATTCCCGCTGGGTAGACGCGCGTCGCAAGAAGGGGCGGTCGCATCCGACGCGCGCCCCCTTCTATCGCGCATGTGTTGCTCTCTGTCTCTCTCCGGCCACTCTGCGCCCGTTCCTCCCCCACCGCCCGCCACCAACCACCGCCGCCGCCATCTCGCGCTGGAATCTGCCGCCCCCAGCTGAGACGCCGCCGCAGGCCATCGCAGTGGGGCATCTGCGCCGCGTGCACCATGATGGCTGAGTGTTTTGGGGGGACCCAAGTACACATGCGTGATATGTCGCCACCGCATAGAGGACACGTGCCAGCCATGCCGCGGCGATGGCCTTAGCGAGAGCGACGATTCTATGTAGCTCGAGTTTGGGTGAAGGGAAAAAGGTCAGCTTCTCCACGCGTGCCCCGCGCCATTGCACGCCGCCGCTTGCCCCCCCCCCCCCCCTCGCCCGCTCCATCTTCACTGCCCCCCTGTCGCCGCCATCTTGCCGCAACTTGCAGCCGCGCGCGCGGCGCGCGGTGCCCCGCGCAGGGCGGCGCGCGGGGCGATGCCATCTAAGGAGGTGCAGGATAGGATCAGACGCCAGGCGGCAGTCGACCTCGCCAAGGATGACTACGCCCACAACATCAAGCGGGCGGAAGCATGGTTGACGCACACGCGGACGGCAGGCGAGCCACCTCCAGAGGAGATTGGGCTCATGGCCGTGAAAGATGAGGTGAAGGAGGAGCCACGCGAGGTGAGGGAGGAGCCCAAGCAGGCAAAGCTCGAGGAAGTAAAGAAGGAGGAGGTGGAGGGAGATTTCTGGTTCCAAGCGGCGAAGCTGTCAGCGGAACCCTACGGCAGCGCCAGCGAAGCGTGCGGTGACACTTTCATCGTTGTCGATAGCCTCGCGACGTACATGTCCAACTGGACACAAACATCGCCATACATACCGTGGATGGCACGGAAGCAACTGCGCAGGTACAGGAAAACAGTGCGCACTCACGCCAAGGAGGTCGCCGCCCTCTAAACCATCTACTCTCTTCATATTCCTCCCGTCCTCGTCTGTCTGTTGCCGCTCTCTCCATCCACTTCGCTGTCTCCCTCGCTATCTTTCCCTCGGCATCGCGCGGTCTCTCTGCAACCTCGCCGCTCTCGCGCGGCTCGCCCCCTGCTGCCGCTCGCGCCCAGGTCGCCGAAAGCCCATGAGATGATGCAGGTGAAGGTCGAAGAAGATCAGGATCTCGAGCCAGAGGTAAAAGAAGAGCCCAAGTGCGAGGAGGAAGGCCCGCCAGGAGGTCGGGTAAGCCTGGCACAGCACCTACGGGCCGACGCCATGCGCAAAGATGCGCGCAGGCGAGATCAGCCCCGATCTCGAAGTCGCCCCCGTGCCAACGCAGCTGGGCAGCAGCGGGGCAGCCGAGAGGATGGGCCTCGGATCCCGAGAGCGCCTGAAAGGAAGCCTGCCAAAGCCACGCTCAACACGGAGGGCGAGTTCGAAGAGTTGCCCGGCGAAGACCCGTCAGGGCGGAGCGCTGCGATATTGGCAGCGCGGGCAGGCGATTGGAGCAAGACGTACAAGGTGTGGTGCGGCAAGAGCGGCCTCCAGCTCCAGCAGTGGACCTCTCGGCGAAAGGGTCTCCGCGCGTGTCACCCCGAAAGAGCTGAAGCGCAAGATGCAGACGGATATTCCGCAGCGTGCGAGGCCTGCAGCACCGAAGCAGCGACCGCAGTCAACGTCGCAGGGGGACGATGGCTGGTCATGGAGCTGGAGCTCGTGGGACAAGGGCTGGACGGCATCCCACTGGTCGAGCTCGTGGCAGTAGAAGCCGAGGAGGAGGAGGTCAAGAGGCCGAGGCCAAGATACCAGGAGGCCAGGGGGAGGCCAGGAGGAGGCCAGGAGGCCAGGAGGCCGAGCAGGCCACGAGGCCGAGCAGGCCAGGAGGCCGAAGGCCACGAGACTGAGGGGCGCACTTGCCCCGCCGCGAGTGGCCCGCTGGCCACTGCGCACGGCGGGCGCGCAGCTTGCGCGCGCCGCGTCGGCGAAACCGGTTCCTCCCTTTCTTTCTGGTTTCTTTCGTTGTATCTCTGTCTCTCTCTCTCTCTCTCTCGTTCTGCGCCCCCTCTCTTTATTGTTGGTGTTATATCTCTCTCTCTTTTCCCTATGTCCCTCGCTCTCTCTCTCTCGTTTTCTCTCTCGCTCTATTTCTCTAGGTATATCTATATACATATATATGTATATATACATATGTATATATATGTGTGTTTACATATACACATATACATATATATATATGTATGTATATGTGTATATATATATATCCCGTGATATCGCTCTTTCTCTCTCTCTCTCTCTTTATCTTCTGGTCCTTCGTTCATTGTTCGGGTGGTGTCTATTCCTCTCGGATCACCCTCACTCGAGCTCTCGCCTGACTTGTTTTCATATGTATATGTATATATATCGTGGTTAGTTCTCACGCACAACAACCCATTTTTATGTGTTTGATGCTTGGATTCCATTCGTGTGCAAACCAAATTTGCGATCAATCGACGTGCGATCGATATGGGGGGGAATGTGACATGGGGAGCCCACCGATCCATCGTCCCGCTGTGCCCTCGAGGACTCGCCACGTCGATCGTTTCGATCGAGCCCTTGCAATCCTGCCCCGCGGCTTCGCCGCTCCGCCCCGCACGCCCCCTCAGAGTTTCGTTCGGCGCACGTCGCGCCACGCGGTCGCGGGGGGGGGGGGGGGGGGGGGGGGGGGGGGGGGGGGCGAAACTCAATGCCCTCGAGCCCGCCCCGTCGAGCCCCGACGAAATCACCCCCCCCTCGTCGTGCGTTGTATCGATCGCACGCGTGACCGTTTTTAGGAAAGCGTGGTCGGCTGCGTCCGCGTCCATAGGGCCGACGTGCATAGCAACGCGCCCGCGAAAATTTCGGATGACACATCCCGCGCGCACGCGACGCACGCATGCACCTCATAGGTCAAGCACACACATATATATACATATATATATATATATACAGATATACATGTAACATAAACCATGTAAAACCGATCCGGAACAAAAACCGATCTGGTAACACCGATCCAAGATAAACCGATCCGGTGAAACTGCAGAAATCAACAGGCGTCTTGGATCCGTAAAACGGATCCTGAGGACCTCTGGGAAGCGGGACACTGGCGGGACAGCGGCGGGACACCGGCGGGACACCGCGCGCCACCGCTTGCCGGAGGTAGAATCATTTGGTCCGGCCGCGCCTCAGCCACAGGATACTTTCCTCTCGCTCGCCCACGCAGCTTCGCCTCGCCCACGCGCACGGCACGCACGAACACAAAACCGAAACCGATTTCCCGGTGGGGGGCTCTCCGTTCCACTTCGATCTCACACCTCAACCTCCGACAGAATCGGCGCATTTGGTGTTCTCATTGTAAGGGCGAGGGTCTGGGGGACAGGGCATTGGGAAAAGGGTCTTTGGGTTAGGGCATTAGGGTAAGGATCTCAGGGTTGGGGTCGTAGGATTACGGCATCAAGGTTGGGGTATTAGGGTTAGGGCCTTCGGGTTGAGATAGTGGGGCGAGGGTCTTCGGTTTGAGGGAATCAGGAGTAGGGTCTTAAGATTAGGGTTACAGTTGTGGGGGTCGTGTCTTAGAGATGGGGTATTTTGGCTAGGGTCTTCAGTATAGGGTCTTAGGGTTAGGGTCTCCGGTATAGGGTCTTAGGGTTAGGGTCTTGGGGATCGGGCATCAGGCTTTGGGTGTGAGGGTTAAGGCTGAGCGTTAGGGCCCTGGTGTTTGGGCATTCGGGTTAGGGCCTGTAGAGTACTAGGGTCACGGTATCAAGGTCAGGGTCTCAAATTTAGGGCATTTAGGTGTACGGTCTTAGGGCACTCGGATTAGCGTCTCAAGGTTCGGGTCTGAGGGTTCGGGTCATAGGGTTAGGGGTGGATTCATAGGCTTAGGGTCTTAGAGTTAGGGTCTGAGGGTGCGGGTCTTATGGTTGGGGTATTAGGGTTAGGGCACGAAGTTCAGCGTACTAGGGTTAGGGTCTCACGTTTGGGGTGTTTGGGTTAGGGTACTAGGGCTCGGGCTTTAAGGTTGAGGTCTGAACCCATCTGTGCCCGCACCAAAGGTCACTCCGGCGAAAGGTCACTCTTACGTCTAATCGAGATCCGAGCGGGTAGAGAGCTCGAGACAGCCCGGGCGAGCCCCACAGGCAGGGCTTCCTCGCAGAGCGCGCGCGGGCGGGCGGCCCGGGCCCACGTAGACGCGCAGCGGCCCCGTCGCAGGCTGCCTCCTGGCGAGGAGGCGCCTGGCCAAGGGGAGGAGGAGGAGGAGGAGGAGGAGGAAGAGGAGGAGCAGGAGGGGGAGGAGGAGGAGGAGGAGGAGGAGGAGGAGGAGGAGGAGGAGGAGGAGGAGGAGAAACGCACACGGAAAGGAGGCGGCGGCGGCGGAGGAGGAGGGGGAGGGGGGGAGGAGGGGGAGGTCATGGTTGCCCAAGCGGAGGGAGGAGGAGGAAACAGGTTCAGGAGGGAGAGAGACTGCAGCAGAGGGACGCCCAGCCAGGAGAGGCAGCACAAGGATGGTCCAGCAGAGGAAACCTATCAGTTCGAGTGGTGCTATAAGTAAGAAGGGGTGCTCACGGACGGCGGTGGGGCCCAAGGAGGTCTCTGGAGGTCCCCACAGTCTTATAGCCTGATGTTTCCAATTCTCTGACCCGTCCTCTTCCCTGCCCCAAGGGTCGTCATGAAGGGAGGAAGATCTGGGATCGAGGATCGGATCTCTTGGGCATCGAGGATCTTCGGCGTTTCTGTCCGCTCTTTCAGGGGCTCCCGTCCGTCCACACCTTCCCCCCTCTGAACGTGGGGCGGGGCGCCAGGAGAAGAGGAGGGGCAGGGGGTACATTGAGAGAGGAAGGAGCCGAGGAGGAGACTCCTCACATCCTATGATCCTTCCCTCCCTCCCTCGGATCATTCACCACCAAGCCGTGGATCCTCCTTCCCTCCATTCGAATCTCCCGCCCTCCTTCGTCAATGCGTTTGGACGAGAATAGAGCGCGTTTCTCTATGTTCGGCGATGACGGGCGTCATGGAGGGGGGGGAGCGGGGGGGGGTATGACGTGTGGCTCCAGCACCACAAAAGCGCCCGCGCGCACGACGACGATGAGCGACGAACGACGACGACGACGACGACGACGACAACGACGAAGACGACGATGACGACGCGAGCAGCTTGTAGGTGGCTGATCTGCCCCACAGCGCTTCTGCACACCACAATGCCCGCGTGCACCACAGCGCGCGTGTATACCACAGCGCATACGTACACCGCAACAGCCGTGTGCAACGCAGCGCCTGTGTATACTCCAGTGCTTGCGTGCACCGCAGCGCGTATGCACACCGCAGCGCCTGCCTACACCACAGCATCCGCGTGCAACGCAGCACTGGTGTACACCAGAGTGCCTGCGCGCACAGGACAGGTAGAAGGAGCATGTAGGAGAGGATATGCTGCGGACAACTAAACGACACGCCCAGAAAATGCTGATAATAGAATGCTACGTTCCTTCCTCCATCCTCCTCCACCTCCACGTCCCAATCCTCCTCCTCCTCCTTCTCCTCCTTTTCTCCTCCTCCATCACCCTTCCCCCCTGTCGCGCGGGTCGGCGCTACAGCGCACGTGCACACCCCAACGTGCACCGCAGAATGGTCTCTTGGATCGGTCCACATGGTTCTCGAACGGCCAATTTTGCTGGAGCCTCCTGGACGCAGATGGGAAGAGTTAGGATGATGCGGGCGGACTCGGGAGGACTCGTAGATTCCACCGGCGCTTCATTGTTCATAAGGGTTCCTTTCCAAATCCTGCATGAAACAGTTGTTTTCTGTGGAATCCACAGGCGCTCCATTTTGTCATTCGGATTCCTCATTCTACATGCGACAGAGGTGCTCTGTTGCACGCGGTTACTGCGGTGCACACAAGCGCCGTGGTGTACATACGCGCTGTAGTGCACGCAGGCATTGTAGTGTACACTGGTGCTGTGTTGCACACGGCTGTTGCGGTGTACGCAGGCGCTGTGGTGTACACAAGCGCTGTGGTGCCCGCAGGCACTATGGCGCATACTGGCGCTGCGTTGCACGCGGCTGCTGTGGTGTACATCGGCGGTGTGGTGTACATAGGAACTGTGGTGCACACAAGCACTGCGGTCGGCGCGAAACGTGACGTCATCGGCCCCCTCCGCCGCCCCCCCCAAATGATTGCCGTCATCGGCCCGGAATGATTATAAAAAACAGGCTCCAGCCGCGTCCGCGCGCACGACGACGATGAGCGACGAGCGACGAGCGACGACGACGACGACGACGACGACGCATGCGGACCAGACTCCTGTGCGAGTTCCTGTGCGGACGCATGGGCGGATCCCGATGCGCACGGCGGCAGTGGTCGGGGCGGCCGAGGGGGGGGGGGGGGCGGGGGAGCGTACAGTCGGGGCGTTGACCTAAGGAACCCTAAATAAGGAACGAGGCCCCTCTTTTCCATGGGTTAAACTTCGATTTCCCGTCGAAAACATAAGGAAAACCCGAGGCAAGCTGTGCAACACTTGAGGAGCACGGAGCCCCTCCCCAACGAGAAGGGTTCCTTCTTCAGCGCCCCGACTGTACTGCGGCAGTGCCAGGGGCGGCCGAGGGGGGGGGGAAGCGTCACGTCACGGAGGGGGGGGCGGGGGGCGGGGGCCTCCGCGCCTGTCAGGGCCCCCGCGCCAGAGAGAAGCACGCTCTCATGCCCCGAAGCCGATGCAGCCGTGGCGACGGGAACGCCCCTCCTGGAGGACCCACGAGGGCAGAAGACGTCTGCGGAAAGCCCAAATAGGGACACACACATAAATACACACAAATAGAGAGATTCCCCATATCTTCCCACATTTTCCGGGCTTTTGTCTTCCCCACCACTTCCCACATTTTCCCACATTTTCTGGGGGATCGACGATTAATTGTGTCTGTGTGTCTTATTCCCCTCTGAAACGTGTCATCCGAGGCTAGCGCATCCAGACTTTCATCCGCACCGATTCTACCCAGACTGATGCGTCTGGACAGCTTCCTCCGGACGGGCTCGTCCGAAGACGGCTTCATGCGAAGACGGAGGCATGCAGAGACGGCATGTTACCCGCAGACCGGAGGACTTCATCCGAACAACTTCATCCAAACGAGTTCGTCCAGAAGAACGTGTTTATGGAGGAACTCGTCGCGGAAGAAACCGTTCAGGATGAGTTGCTCGTCCTGAAACACACACACACACAACACACACACACAACACACACACACACACCTCGATCCTCGGGATCCTCCCCTAGACATTTCCTAGATGGGGTCCGAGTAGATGGGGTCGGAGGACCGCGCCGCATCGGCGATGTGTCGGCGATGCATCGGCGGTGCAACGCCGACGTCGGCGATGCATCGGCGACGTCGGCGTGGGGAAACACGGGCTCCACATCGAGCCGCATCGGCGATGAATCGGCGATGCGCCGCGATCTTTCGACCCCATCTGCTCCGACCCCACCTAGGAGGCCTAGATCCCCCCTCCCTCCACCAGGCCCCCCCAAGCTCGTTCCGCCCCCGGCTCGCCTGCTGGCCGCGGGCCCAAACGCGTCCACTCCCGGCGCCGATCCCGCGAGCGCGGCGGACGGCCGCGCCGCCTCACAAGAGCAGGGGGCGGGGCGAAGGGCCTCCCTCTGCCCAACACTCGTCCCTCGAGCCGCCCCTCCTCATCTCCGTGGTCCCCACACCTCCTCCGCCGTCCTGCCTCCACCTTCCCCCGCTCTTCCTGCGTGCCCCTTCCGTCGGGGAGACCTGCAGAGGATTCATGAAACCTGGACCCTGACCAAAAGTGCCCTCCTTGCCGCAGCAACGAGCCAGAGGTCGAGCGTCTGAATCCCACCAGCCCTCTGGGCGTAGGTGGTCTAAGGAGCTCTTTCCTCTTCCAAAGGCCTCTTCCCTTCGGGGAGGGGTACCATCCACCCCCACTCCCAGAAGCAAAATCTGGGGGGTCGCGAGCGGTCAGAGCGCAAAAGATGGCCCAATATGGCTCAAAGGGGGCCCCCGATGCTCCGAGATGGCCCCCGAGAGGACTCGAGATAGCCGAGGGTGGTTCCAGGCGGCGTCCGACACGCCTCCTAAGAGGCCCCACGAGGACCACAAGACTCGGACAGCTCGGGAGCCCCCCGGCCTTCGGAGAAGTTCCCAAGCCTTCCCCGAAGACACAGAAGGCCGCCCTCTGCGAAGGCCGCCCTCTGAGAAGGCCTTCTGAGAAGACCACCCGAGCCTGAGGATATGACGCCTGCTGCGTCCGCTGCCCATGGTAGTCCGTGGGCGCTCTCACACCCTATCCAGCAGACGACTGGGGTAGGACTTTGTTGCACGGCATACCTGCGTTACACTGCCGGGCCCTGTTCGCCGTAGCACTGCCGCTGCCCCCTTTCGCGCAAGGACTGGTCAGGTGTCGCGCATTCTGGTTCAACGAAACCGCGCATGCACCTGCTGTGCATGATGCTTCCTAGCCCTCTTCACCGAATTTGCTGGTCTCTGTGCTGCCGCCCTGGGCGCCACCGGCCGTCTTCCACATGTATGGCTGTCCTCAAGCACTGCAATGTCATCTCTACTCTACCTCCTCAGCTCGCTGGCCTCTGCGCTGCCGGTCTAGGCGCCACCAGCCATCTACCGTTCGACTGGCATCTTCCAGGCAATGCAATTACTGCGGCATCTTGTGGGGGACCCCGGAACCCCCTCCCTCCCTGTCCGACGTCCCTCTCCACGAAGGTTGGACAGCCGCACTGCGGCCAGGCCAATTTGGCCCTCTATCCAGCTCCTCGCTCGTAGCCTGCACCAATTGGCGTACCTCGCCCTTGCACGTCGCTTAGGTCGAACTTCGTACGCCAGGCTCGGCCAATTAGGCTAGGCACGCAGGCCCCACGCTCCCTTCCTCATATCCTTCCTCACTTCATACAGCCGCCTAGCGGCCTAGCCAATTTGGCCCTCCATCCACCTCCTTCCATTCTCCAGCTTGCTTTATTTCGCAGGCCTCCCAGGCTTGACATGCCTTTTTCCAGTCGTACACTGCTCTCGGCCGATAATGCTGCTGCTGCCCGTCTCAGGGCAGCTGGCCGTATCGCCATGTGCCTCGCACGGCGACAGTCTCCTCCTCCTCCTCCTCTCTCTATTCTCCAGCTTTCCTGTCGCCAATACTCGGGAGCGGCCAAGAGGGGGGTGTCCAAGAGGGGGGGGTGCAAATCATGACCGGCGGCATGTGCACGGCCCAGCGGGGGGGCCA